GGAAATGTGTATAGACCTTTTCCACAAGGGCGCCGCCATCTTGAATTGACGTCACTTCCAGTATGGCCGAAAACGTAACTTTGCCGTTGCCACGCCAATAGAAGACATTTAGGATATAAGCCTAAAGGCCCGTTCACACTCTTGCAACCGAGTACGACCGAGAGAGACCAAACCGGTTTTTAAGCCTCTTGCGATCTCTTAGAACCAGCTCCGCTCAGCGCAACCGGTCCCAAGAAGTCTTTCTCGGTCGTACTCGGTTGCAAGAGTGTGAACGCGCCTTAACCGTCACACATTCTCGTTTTGGCTCGCCTCTATTTTTTTACTAGTTACAGGTTGAAACGTCTTACTTTTTTTTCGTCGCCCATACTGGAAGTGACGACAATTCAAGATGGCGGCGCCCTTGTGGAAAAGGTCTATAGGCAGAGCTGCAAGCAGCAATTCTGGTTGGCAGAAAGCCCTTCCCCAACATCCTCCTCTCCATTCCTTCACTCACTCCCCTCCTCCTCGCCCGAGCAGAGCAGGTTGAAGAGCTGATCCTCTGGGAAAGGATGGGTATCCTCCTTTCCGGGGTCGAAAGAAGGGGACGAGAGAAGGCTTCCCCCTTATACTTGTTTATCGGCCCCTAAGGGCATGCTGAACCAAAATCTGCATTTCTTAGGAAAAGGGCAGTGGGAGCATTCTGGAACGCTAGGGATCTAAAAAAAATCAGATATAAAATGATATGCCAAACGGATGGGCTTAGTTTCTAAAAGTAAGGTGCGATCAGGATATGCTGGAAGCCGGTCTCCGAGAGCAGCCAACGCGCGGAAGGCAGTCTGGGAGTGACTCCCGAGTTCCTGACCTCACAGTAACCATGTTTCCTCTTCGCTCTCACCTCATCGTCTCGACTACTCGCTCACATGTGGCGCTGCATTCCTCCTTACTTTCTCGGAGGGTGTATAACATCATCAAGCAAGCTTTCATAAATATACCTTACGTGTAACGTGCAAGTTTCGTTTTTGCATATAATGTATTTTTTGGATCTCAAGCAAAAGCCATTCAAAAGGTACATTGCTGGCAAGCTAGCACACCCGGCATTTTCTTTCCATGGTTCACTGAAGCCATTTTGGCAAGCACGTGGGGACCAGATTTCTTTTGCACAGTACATAATGGAAACACAGCATGTGTCTACGAGGCGCAACAGTCGAGCGAACGTCCCCCCCCCCCCCCCCCCCCCAGTGCCTCTACTGCCAACAACACGAAAAGATAAGAATGCACTGGCGCGTCGCCTGCTTCTCGTGCCCCTTCCCCACTGCTAACTTTCAAGGGCGGCGTCGGCTGTGCATCTTCGCACATGTGATGAAAATGTGACTGCGGTAAACTCACGATAGGATTGAGCTGCTTCTTTCGACGTTGATGACAAAATGCCAGAAATATATTTTTGACAACCATAACGAGCAGATCCCCGACATCGAGATCATACGCACGACAACAAACTCAGCACGGACGCGTTTGTCTCCAGTTCCGGGGATTTGTTCATTAGAAACAGTACGATTAACCCTCACCAGCACAATTGCACCTTTCATGTCTCGTATGCTTCAATCAGCATCTACTCGGGAATCATCTTCGCTGCAGGAGTAACCCAATTCACGTTATTGCTTTATTAGTTCTTGAATTGAAGCTGAACACTCGCAAAAACATTGTTTTTTTGTATATTGCACTTAGTTTCTCGATAAAGACAGGGCAGCACCAGTGGTGAAGAAATATTCAGATATGCTGTGTTTTTTTTTAAGTTGTAACAAATGTACCACATGCAAAATAAAAAAGAAAAGTGGATTTATGACGCTTTTAATTTTGCCCTAAAGCTTACCCGACTTGGGGGTAACTAATAGCAAGGTTGTGTGCAATAGGGTGGTTAATTAATGCATATATTTAATTAACATTTCAATTTTCTTTTTTTTATTTACTTTAGAGGGCATATGGTACTTGCAAAATTGAAGTCCAACCTCCCTTACACATCGACCACACGCTGAAATGAAATGAAATGAACACAGAAAAAATCGCTGCAAGTGCTACCGGCCAAATTATATAACGATGCTGTCACACCTTTTTACGTTGAGTTACGGTTTTCGGTGGTATAATAGTTTGTCCAGTAGCACCTACACCGACTTTTCCACATTTATTTCAGAATTTTAATTCTTTTTATTTATTTACTTTAGAGGGTATATTGAAGTTGCGAAATTGAAGTCCAATCTGCCTTACGCTCCAACCACACGCTGAAATGAACACAGAAAAAATCGCTGCAAGTTCTACCGGCCAAATTATTCGACGATGCTGTCACACTTTTCCCGGTGAGTCACGGTTTCCGATGGTTTGTCTGGTACCACTGCAGCAACTTTTTCATACTTATATCATCGTGCAGCTGGAGCATACGGAGCTTGGGCTTCAATTTCGTAAATGCAATATGCCCTCTAAACTCAATAATTAAAAAGGTAATTGAAATCGTAATTAAATATATGTTAATAAACTACCCAACTGCAGAAACAACCTTGTTGTTAGTACCCCCCAAGTTGGGTAAGCTAATGGCAAAATTAAAAGCGTTATATTGTCACTCTTCCTTTTTTTATTTCATGTGGTACATTTATTGCAACCAAAGAGAAACAGCCGGTATTCTAAAAACAGCATATAGCTGAACACAACAAATCTGCCAAATACCCTTTCTTTTGCAACCTCGAGAAAATTGTCATGTTTGGGCTTGCAATATTTCGCAATTATATTACATTCACATGAAACCTTATTTTTTCAGTATTTACAAGCTTTTCCAAGGATTGGATGTGAGCTCGGCACGTCTCAAAGTGACTCGAGAATTAAACCTTTGCCCAAGATTTCCCATAAACGTAACAATGAAATGGCGAATGGAGGATTTTTCAAGAATCCTCAGCTGTACTCGAGCTACACATACTGTATAGGTGTACAGTATGTGTAGTTCACGTGTACAGGTCACGTGTACACGTGCCCTGATAAAGGGGGTCACACGGCTGAGCAGCAGGTAACATTACCTAGACAAATGACCTCAACATCTCATCGGAAAGGGGGTCATTGAGACGTCACGTGAAAGGGCTAATACGATGCCCAGATCACCTGACCGTCATAGCTATCTGACGATTCTTCGATCCCGATTATGCGACCAGTCACGTGAATGTCATGTGATCATGTGACATGGTGTAACCACTAGCACTTCATGTAATCATTGGCTTTCTAAGAAAAAGGGCAGCCAAATTTCCATATCATACCTTCTCAACCAGACACGCTGCAGAGTCTTTCAGCAGTGCTGTGAGGCCCTTGATCATTTCGATGGCAGGGGCTGCATGGACCACAGGTTAGAATTTATTTAAAACACCAAAACAGTGGCAAAGAAAGCCGATGAGAATGCCATTTACGATTCTGTACAAACAAGAATGGGGCTGTAGTAAAATAGATAAATGGGCTAGTTGGTACATCATTGAATGGAAGTAGTACTGAAGAGTAGTTACCCTGTTCCAGGGTAACTACTCTTCAGTCTGGTATGAAAGGTTACTAAATGTAGAATTTCAGTGCCCATAAACAAAAAAAAAAAAAACAGCTACTCTGTTCCTTAACTGAACAAGCAGGACACTGGATCATGTGGAGATTCAGGTGTACTCATGAAGCCACAGAACAGATGAAACTGTCACATTCATGTGTAGACAAACTCCCCAAACTGTGATTACTTACTGTACACTTGAATAGCCTGACCTAGGAAGAACTCAAATTTAATGTGTGTGAACATCATTATAGGTATGATTCTTTGTAATTAATATAATCATACTTATATAAATAATCATAGAATATAAGTCCTCTTAGATATACCATAAATGCAGAACTTGATGCTGCCAATTGGTTACTTAAAAATTGTGTTATTACCAGACCGGCTGGGATACATTGATCAGAAGCCGGGCAGTGATTGAGAAGCATAAATGTCCCCACATAATTCGACCAGCAGGTGAAGTAACAGCGCTAAAAGTGCCAAAATAATGTCCACCTTGTAGCATTAAGACAGGGGAGTACAGTACAGACAAATATAAGCATGAGATTGTGACTAGTGCCCCAAAGCTGGAAACATGCATGCATGTGCATAAACATAACCTTTGCAGGTTTGTAATTTCATATGCTTGCCATCACAAGCAGAGACATGGTGGCAGCAACCAGAAACCCAGCCTAAAAAGAGCAATGTGAATATGAAGAACCAATTCTTGCATTTAGCCCTAGTTTGGACAAGAGCTTGTTCAGAAACTAAAAGGTACACCAAAAAGCATGATGTGCGATTTACACTTGCATTGTTCTTAATAGGACTGTCAACTTTCACATATTAAGGTTGTTGTGGAAGACTATAACTTTTCATTTTATGGACTTTCGTCTTTAAAAGGCAGCAAGGGCAAACTTTTGAGTCCTTTCTTTAGGTTCTAGGCTACATGTTTTGTCATACAAAACAGTGCCTAGGCTAATGCTTGAAAACAAGGTAATTAATCCAGTAGTTCCTAAATGTGCAAGGCAGTCAACAAAATATAAAAAATTAAGCGCTTATTGTTGTTGCTACTGAAGGAAAATGAGAGCAGTGATGAGAGTGTATACAAAGCAGTCCACGTAGGAGAGGCTTAGTGAAGAGGAATGTTAAATGCAGAGACACAGGCTTTCAGATCAATGGGAAGGGTTAAGTAAAATAACATCAGCAAAGAGAAAGGGGAGAGAAAAGAAGTATTGCAAAACAAGTAAGGAAAGGAGCAAGAGTATGTGAAGTCTGCAAATATAGAACAAATCGAGGACATGGGTTCAGAGAGAGTTCAAAAAGAGATAGGCCTCATTTATGTAAATAGAAAACTTGTGAATGAAGATAGTGTGTGCCTTATTCACTATCAGACTACACAGCACTTGATGAGCCAAAAGCTGTAGATTGTTTTATCATTTGGTAAACATATAGCATCATACCTAATTTCAAATTTAGTTCACAAAATAAATGCCACTTTGCACACCAAGCTTCTGTTTATATACGATGAGTACTTACAAGCGACTTCAACTGCGGCAGTTCCGGCCTTGCCTTGTTTGGCTTTCAGCAGTTCTTCCACCCTCTCCCCTTTCGTCTCGAAGAAGTTCCTGACTCCGTCCTCTGCGTGTACTCCAGTCATCCTGAGGAATTCCTGCAGGACCTGTAATGAAGCCATGGAAACAAATGGGTAAATTCCTAAGCAGTCCCCACATTTGGTGGTGGTGGGGGGGAAGGGGCAGGCATACCCTAATTTCCTGAGACTTTCGGAAATTAATGAGACAATATAGAAAATGTTTTAATATTCATGCCCTTCCAAATGCGACTGCGAGTTTATCTTGCCCAAACAACTAAATTTTTGCGAGGACCCGATTTTCGCGAGTCGCCTACAATTCACGAAAAATAGGTCCCGCGAACAATTCAAGCAATTAAATCGTTTACAGTAAAGAAAAGTTGCAAAATAAAAACAGACTTCATATTTAATTTAAAGCTAATATATATGAGCCATGAAACCAGATGTTTATTTATTATAAATGGCGAGCTTGCTGCTGACGGCGGTCAACTTTATTGCGTTTTCTAACATTTGGTACAAGATAAATTCGTAAGAGGTAGAGCAAAGGCAAGCTGGTTAAACAACATAGGTGAAGACCTGAGAATGAGGAAATAAAAAATTACTATGGGAATTATTTCCCATTCTCAGGGTATAACTATGTAGGGTCGTCTAGATAAATCCGAACTTCTTTCAGATTTCGTCTGGCAACAATACAGGGAAGCTAACCGGCCGAATTGGGCTTCTGCAGTCACGTGATTCAACAGCGGACCATCGCAGAATAATCAATTTGCGACCTGCACAAAAATTAGCAGGGAATACAACCAGAGGGCGGCAATACTCGAATCGCTTCGCGCCGGAAAATTGCCGAAGCAAATCATTTAGTGGTTTGACTACAAAAAGACACAAATTTAAATCATTGCCAAGACATTCAGATATTCTGTCAGCCAGGAAGACATTACGGCAAACCGATCAAAGCACAGAAAACTGGCAAATTGCAAAAAAAAAAAATCTATATATAAAAAATTGTTTGTGAATCGAAGCAAAAACAATCTAGAAGGATCCTGGAAGCAGCATAAATGACCTCGCAAATAAAATGGAACTAGCGAGGTCGACAATGAGTTTGGCAGTGCATGAAGACCTACAGTACAACTCATTTGTGCTCAGGAACACAGGCATGGCTCTACAACGCCCCAGTATACCATTGGTCCCCAGATTTGTGGCCTCCCTTGAGCCCCAAGTGCAACCCTCTTGAGTACTATATATGGGGCATGCTAGAAGCAAAGGTGAATGCTACATATCGAAACATCCAAGGATGCTCTGAAGGCCTCCATAATTCAGGTGACGACACAGATGGACAAGACGGAGACGAAGCATGCCTGCAGCCATTTCAGGTCCAGGCCCTAGAAGCTTGTGGCAGCTGATAGGGGCCATTTCAAATAATTTTATTTTTTAGTTGTTTTCTAATTTTGTACCAAGTTTTGTACTAGTATATTAAATTTTTTTTGCTTGTGTGTTTTCCTGAATATGGTGAATTTGCCGGATCTATTTCGACGACGTAAGAGCGTGACGTATGAGCGAGGTTCCCCTTCATTCCCTAAACTCTTGCAGCCACTGAGCGCCAATGATAGCAGCGCCTGTGTACGGAAGCGAGCCCGCTCCGGCCATGCATGCAGTACTTTTGATGAAGACTGTACGGCTTTGGAATATTAAAGTGCCAAAGCACAAGGACAGAGAAAAGAAGCCGAAGTTGTTGGAAGTAGTGCTCTATTTGTCTTTTTTTTTGTCATTGTTATTTGACATTTTAACGCAACAGCATTAACGAGTTCGTGTCGCAGAAACGCCATCGTCGGTGGTGTGACAAAAAAATCCGAGATTGGTATATAGGGTCGCAACTTCACAGCCACGTGACCTCGCACGGGAATTTCAAACAACACATAACGCTCATGTGAAACGTGACCTCATGCGTGGAATGAAAGTGATTAAAAGATGACAAATAATGCGAATTAAAGGTTGCTGCATGTCTAAAACAATTTCACTTTATAAAGCAATTCATTTGCTCAACAGAAAAAATTGAAGAATATTAGGCAGGATTGAAACCCATGCCCCTGCGGTTGCTAGCTGGACACGATACTGACTAGGCCACGCAAGGCCTGCATGCACAGCTTGGGAAGAAAGAGTGTTGTGCGATGAGATCTAGGTCGTTCTGTGACTCAGAGCACGAGAAGCGAATGAGAAGACAAAGCGAACGGGGCCCGATAACACCGTCGCGTTCCACTATTAAAGGCGAACCTTAAGCGTCCTCCAAGTTTTAATATTCCTGAGATTCAAGACCTGCAACTGCGGCATACCCAATTTAAAACCAGATATACATCATGGTCACGACATTAGTGGTAATGCAGACATGTAATCAAGAAATTAATAAACAAATTAGTTAGTCACAGGGACGATTTCCAAGACAATTTAGCATCAAATACATTCGGCAATTAAAATGGTAATTTCTAAAATCCCCGAATTAGTCCAGCAAGGTTTCAAGTTATAATGGTTAAAAACAGGTTTTGTAAGACATACCTCTTCCTTCACCCCCAGTGCTGGGTACAAGTCCAAAACTTCTTCGACAGTGCGAGGCTTCTCCGAAATCCATCCACGCCGTTTAACATATGTCCTCTTCATAGCATCAGAGATCATCTCTTCATTTCTGGTCTCTGGAGTCTTTCGCATCTCCTTCTTCAAATACTCAGTGTGTGCCGCAATGGACTCTTCATCCTCCCCCACGTCGTAGAGTGCCAGCTATAACAAAGCAACATGTTAGGTGGTTCCTCTTGTATTCACTAAGTGGTGATGCTAAGGGAGTGCTTTTGTAATAGCTCCCTGACTGGAAACTTTCATGGTAATGAATCGCAAAGCGCTATATCGCACAAGTCCACTCCTGTCATAAAGATGCATTGGGTTCTCACAGCAACTCATTTTACAACTGTATATATGTGAATCAAACTGCAAGTGAAAACAACAACAAAAAAAATCATCCCAAAATTTCATTTAAAATGTACATATTTTGGTAATCAAGTTTGTCTGATTGTCGGCTGTAAGCCGTGCAGTCAGTTCATTTGCTAGCATGTTATGCTTTTTGCGTTGCTTTCTTTCTAGGTATTACAAAGAGGAAGAGATCATATTTTGAACTCATGGGAAAAAAGAAGGCATACGAAGGGGCTTGAAAGGGTTTATACACCAACTCATGTTTACAAACAAACCGGGGCGCCCCTAGCGGACGCCACTGGCGCCGCGCATGCGCGATGGGGGTGTGGGCAAAAAGCTCGCCGTCGCCCATAAACAAACCATAGGAATGCGATGTTGTCAGCGTCGGTGTGAGTCCCCCCGCCCTTTTTCGAGTTCGAATTGTTGATTCTACGTCTTCCTGGCGATGTCTGACTACTTGAGCGGCGTCAGCGAAATTACCGAGGCTCATTACACCGCAAAACTTCGCGTGAATAATGTGGCATGTGGTGATTCATTCCGCGTGGACGCCGCAGTACGTACGCTACAGCCCGATTCGCATGATGAGATTTCGCTCGCGATTTTCGGTCGCGACGCCGCTGGGGCTGCAAAAGCGTGAACCGTAGCTGAAATGGTCGACGTCGATACTGAAAATCGCAAACAGAATCGGACCAAGTGGATTAGGCACAACAAGTCGGTGATGGTTACTGGTAACAATGATCAACATCTGCTTGTATCTACAGTATTATTTGTGGCACGTCTAGAAATACATGGAATGCCTGGCTAGAATGGCCATTTAAGAGTGTGAATAGATTCCCCAGTTGTGATGTGCCATCGTACCCAGAGCTCCTTATTGGCAGTTGGGCAATTTTTCTATACAATCTTGCTTAAGTTCAACACCGGAAAGATTGTTTAGTCATATCTTGTACCAAGAGTTTGTTATATGTTTTCGCATTAACAATAAATCCTGAAAATTAACATCCAAGGCGGTTCTTTTGGGATCGAGAAAAACAGAAAACCTCCAAATCAGTATTAAGCTTTACTTGAAAAAGGGAATACAAATGTTTTTACATAGCATCTTTGCCAGTATGTCCCATTTGTTTTGGGGAAGGGAAAAGGGAGTTAAAGGACACATGCAAAGGAAAAAAACATTTTTTTTTAAACGGCTTAGATGGAAAAAGGACGCCATAAAACGATTTTACAGCGAAGAAAAAAATTTTTAGAGCTATATTTACGGCGCAAAACGAATTTGTAGTTGGCGCCCGCGGGCACCGCGGAAAAGTGGTCCGTATTTATCACGTGACTGGTCCTTATTTATCACGTGGTGCTTGCGTTCTTTCGGAAGCTTCCTATGGCCTCTAAAAGTAACTTATTCATCTTTGTTTGAAGTATAACAAAAACCTAGATGAATAAGTAACTTTTAGAGCCCAAAGGAAACTCCTGAAAAAGCGCAAGCAGACGTGATAGACCTGTGCGCCGGTCAGACGACGGCGGCGGCGCCCCGAAGCAGACGAACTTGTGCGGCGGCGGCGACGGCGGCGTGGAGAAACGCGTTGAAGCGGCGTTCGCACAACGCTCAGCGTGCGGCGGCGGCGCAGCGCGGCGGCGCGCGGGCCTACCACGTGACCAGCGGCGGCTCCCGCGAGCGCCAACTACAAATTCGTATAGCGCCGTAAATATAGCTCTAAATTTTTTTTTTCTTCGTTGTAAAATCGTTTTATGACATCCTTTTTCCATCTAAGGTGTCTAAAAAAAGTTTTTTTTCCTTTGCATGTGTCCTTTAAAGGAAAAGGAGAAAAAGAAAAGAGTTTTTTTTTTTTTTTTAGGTTAGAGTTTGCCCCAGTTTTGACTGAGTTCGCTCGTTCTATTCGCCACCAGAATGCCACCGCCCACCGAGGGAGACCGCGCATACCTGCGTATGTCCACGCCACCAAGAAGGAAAAAATTTTGAGCGCAGGGAAAGAGACCCTTTCCCTGAGGAAAACCCAAGCTTCATTTGAGGAGATCGATTTGTTCTTGGTACAAGCTCAAAGAGACACTTAAGCACTTAATCTATGCGCTGTAAGCATTCTAAAAAACCCTACCGTATTTAAAATCGTGCATGGCCTACCTTCTTAGTAATAGCGATATTAAAGATAGCTACACGCCGCTTTCCACTTTCTTCTAGATTAATCTCAGAGTGAAGAGGCTGAGAAAGGGAGCTCGTCAGCTAATCGCAAGCAATGACTTCCCAAATGGCTGACCAGTGGGGGGATTTCCAAACACAATGTGCGAATCGGACATGTTTTTAAACCGAGTTATATTAACATTTAGAAATGCCACACATTGTAGTGTTTTCATTGATCCAGAGGAACTAGTCCGCGACAGAAAAGATCCCCATAAATTTCTCGCCCCGAGAATAATAGGTGGGTTTCGTAACGTGAAACCGGTGGTATTTATTATCTGCCACCTATGAAACAATATAACGTCAAAAACAACCTTCTTCACAAACTGCTTAAACCACACTGATTCCATCATCTGAGGCACTTTCAGAGCTGCGAGAAGCACCACAATAAAGTCAATGAATGTTTTTGGCAGGTACTGTTTGCAGAGAATGATTTCATATATGCTTTTTTGCAATAAAATTGTGCCGATACATTATGTATACTCCAGAATATGATAAAATATACATTTGTTTTTACAACGTTTTGCTCCGATACATGCCAATCCTATGCTGACATTAAAAAATACAGTATGGAAAAGAAATTAACCCCCATAAAAACAACACCGATTTAAAAAAAAAAAAAAAACATTAGCCCCCGAAAAAACACAATTGACATTATAAACAATACAGTAAAACATTTATGAATGCAGTCTAGGGTAGTGACACGTTACAAGTAATGCGTCTGCATAGGTACATCCTAGCTATTATTCAGCCATTTTGAGTGTTACGTTCGACTTGCAGCAACTTGCAAACATATAGTTTTTCACAACTTATGGCCCTGCTTGGGTCGTGACGCACCATCAACAACTGCTGCTTCGGTATCGCGTAACATAAAAAAAATCCTTACTATAATAATGTACTTGCACTTCATCCAATAAACTTCGGATGGAGGACATTTTCTACTCTGTGATTGGTCCCTCTCTGCTGTTGTAAAGTAACTCAAAACTAATGGCATTACTTTTTGAAACGAACTGTAATTGTATACTCCGTTCCACCTTCAGTCTGAGCGCAGTGGACGCCACGGGCCATCCCAGCCAATCCAGCGCCGGGAGAAAATCGCGTGACCTGCCGGTTGGGCAGAGGGACACAGGGAGCTCAAGGTCACATGACACTCTTTCCACGCTTTACTGGCTGGGATCACTCCTAGCGTCCGCTGCGCTCGGACTGAAGGTGAAACGGAGTATAGTGTGTTACCTTCCTGTTGCAGTAACTGTACCTGTAAAGTCATTACTTTTTTCTGGAAGTAACTGTAGTTTAACAAATTAATTTTTGAAAGCGATTAACTGTGACTACGAATACGAGGTAACATAGATATAACGTTTCCACCCATGTTTTAGCCAGCCTTTAGCTGCCCTTCCAGAAAGAGAGGAGATAAAGTAGTCTTGCTTACAGTTGTTGTGACGCTTGGACGAGACGCGCCTCGTGGCGTTTGACTGCCACCGGAGAGGCAGGCTTTCGCTCGCTTTGCCCGTTCGTCGGCGACCTCCTTCACGTCCACCATTCTCCTTCGCTGGTTCTTCGTCCGGTTTTTGAGGGCCTCCTTCCAAGAGCCCTGAAAGCATGTACATAATTAAAACACTACTGTAATTGCAATTGCCCTCCATAACCAAGAAGTGCATTTACAAAGCCAAGGCCTGGTTTGTCGGCCAGCTTCGGGTACTTGAAGACAAGGTGCCTCGCAGCCTCACTGTTCAGATCCCGTTTCCCTGGGTACCTAAAAAATAAGATGGTTTTGCCAATTAGAACAGTCAGCTAGGTAAATGAACAAATTAGTGTTGCTATCTGTTCTTGGTCAGGGGACTCACAGCGCATATCTGCACAGGTCAGAGTGCAACCAGCGAATAATCCTCTGGCGCAACGCATTGGACAGTTCACCTTCCTCCACTTTCGGCAGGAGCTCTTTGAGATCTAGTGTGGGCTCTGGGAGCGTGTAGCTCAATGTTGGAAGCGTATCGTGGAAGGTGGATGAACTGAAACAAAACAAAATAAAACATTGATTAGATTTGTAAGCATATTCCATTTCATATTCTGTTTAAAGAATTAGAAGTCTGTGTTTATAGAATGAATATTCTAAATAGCCATTAAGGCACTCTTAGGAGCTCAATACATCCACCTTGCTGGTTCTGATAGTGGGATTACACTCTTTCACGAAGCATGCAAAATCGCCCATTCGAAAGCAAATTCTGCTTTTGAGGTGCACATAGCAGCAACCAGCTATGTGTATTTGTATTTGTTACACAAAACAAAGAAAGAAAGCCTGGCGGCACAGACCTGGCGACAGAGACCGGGGCTACGGGAGCAGCGGCTGATGATGCCCAGGGTTGCTGCAGCGACTCCTCTTCTACAATTAAATTTAGCTTGTCGTGAGCTTTCACGACATAAGTGTCACTGACATCGACATATTCTCCGTAGGTCGAGTTATAAACCTGCAAAGGAAACAGCATATATAACCTAAACAATCTTAATGTAGTTGCACCACATACAAGGAAGTGTTGTGTTTACGGACAAAATGTATATAGTGTCATAGCTTTGAGCTCTCCAGCTATAATCATGAATGGTAATAAATTCAAGGGATTTGGCATTGGAAGCTCTAAATAAACCAATTTCACCCACCAGCTTTGCTACACTGATGTGATGGCATTGTGGGAGCTGTGGGTTCTAAAAACCTCCAATGGACTAGACTGTCACAAATACGACTTTAAAATAAAGTGGTGTGCGGGCTTATAAAGTAGTTTTACTAGATTAATTTCTTTACTTCAACAATACAGAAGTTTTCAAAAATCGTAAAAATGCTTTTCGTGCTTGGCAACTTCAAAATGACTGCTCTGTCACATGGCTGCTCCAGTAATACATTTTTTTCAACCCAGACAGTAAAATAATGAGACAGTATTTTGCTGAAGTACATTCGGAATAGCTAGCAAATATTAGTTAGACAGATCAAAAGAATAAAACTAACAAAGTCAATGTTCTTTGCACAGGAGACTTCATTCTAAACATGCGTTGAGCCTCGTCATTCGCTCAGCGGATCTCGTGGATTACAATGAATGGCTCAACCAGTGTACCGCGGGAAAGTTGACACACGGGTGTCTTTAAAGAGTGTGTGGCCTTCTAAGCCAATGACACGAGTGGCGTTCGCTCTTGGTTCACAAGGGCTGTAGCCTTGTCTCCACTGCACGGTTTTAACGAGATAAGTATAGAGCCTCATATTTCCCGAAGAGTAAAGCTACACTCTAAAACATCTGTTTAGACCAAAAAATCGCAGTCTGAGTTGTGACATTAAGCAATGCAAGCGTGACGTTTTGCATGGCTTAATGTCACAACTCAGACTGCGGTTTTTGGTCTAAACAGATGTTTCGGCATCGTCATTCGCTGAGCTGCCTCCGTAAGATGCGCTGATTGGTTCTCCGAGTGTTGTGCGCGAATGTAGACGCACAGACTTTTTTTAGAGTGTATACACACTACGTCGTGCACCCCGATCGGAAATGGCTGTACGCACTACGCGAAGCTTGTATAAAACGAATGGTTACAAGGAGTTTCGGAAGCGGTGGCGTAGCGCAGTGCAGAGCCGTGTATACAGAGAGTTTGGTCAATGGGAGTTGCAGGCAGACCAAAGGCGTGCACCAGACGCAGACAGAGGGATTGACATGCTCTCTCGGCCAACCAGAAGCCTAAAAGAATCCCCTAGCGGTGGTAGCGAGAAACTGTTTTGATCAAAGGTATATGTTGGTATATGGTTTTAATAAGCCCGTAAGGGTGAAGTGTAGTAACTCTTTGTGGTTGAAAATTGGGTGCACGCTATGATTCGATCATGATCATGGAGAAAGACGTAAGAAACAAATGCGCCGCTCAACTCTGTTTTGCTCGGACAGCATATTCCCGGCCCTTGGCACTTGGCGTGCGGATTATGTTGATCGTTTTGCTAGTCGCGCTCTTTCACCATGATTTTGGATGAGCGTGATTGAAACATCACGTGCACCATATTTTCAGTCACCGAGAGTTACTCCAATGCACTTCAAGTTTGTTTTTCGTGACCACCGCCATTGTATTGCTTCTGGCTTGTGGTTGGCCACATTCGAATTCCTAAAGACGGCCTAGAAGACGCCCAGCCCGCTTTCGGCCAACGGCGCCTCCTCATTTGCCTCCTATACTTCCCAACGAACGGCCCAACTCTCTACATATACAGCACTAAAATAGTGTAATAAAAAAAGAAAAAAAAAGACTGGCATAATGGTAGGGTGCCTGCTTCATACGCAGCGGGCCCCGGTTCGATCACCACTGTAAACACTTTTTCTTTTTTCCATAACATTTTCTTTGTTTAACATTTACCAATATTTACTTTTTTTTTTTTTTTTTTACAAATAAGATTGAAATAAAACGAATGTTGTCGATAAAATTTCGCAGAACTAATTGGTATGGAACTCCCTTTCTGGAGGTGCAATCGGGGATAGCGGGGCTTGGGTTGCTGGCTGGACGCGGGGAAGCGGCGTGTACAGCTTAAGTTTTGTAATTGAGTAAAGTTATAACGCACTCCGTAGCGCACTTCGGCCGGAAATGGCTATACGTACTACGCGAAACTCGTATAAAATGAATGGCTACAACGAGTTTCATAAGCGGTGGCATAGCATAGTCCAATAAAGAAAAAAAAAATAGCATAGTGGTAAGGTGTGTGTGCTTCATACGCAAGTGGATGCGGGTTCGATACGCGGTGGGGGCTTACATTTTTTCTTTTCTTTCTTGGAACATTTTTTGTAGAGGCATTTGCGAGCATTTCGTTTTTACAATAAACACAGAAAAAAAAAAATCGGCGTGAACGCCGGCCCCGGGGGGGGGGGGGGGGGGGGGAGGGAGGGAGGGAGGGAGGGAGGGGCGGGGGAGGGGGGAGAAGGGAAAAGGGAAAGGGGGGTTAACGAGCTCCCCAGTGATACACGCGCTGTTCGAAAAGGGTGACCCAAGCGGCACGAGCTCTCCGCGTAGTGCGTATAGCCATTTCCAGTCGAAGTGCACTACGTAGGGCGTAGTAAGGTACGGCGCTCCTAGGGCCAATAAAGTCGACTAGCCGAGCCATGTGAGAATGCTCCTATTCGCCCACAGGAACCGCAGCTTCTGCCGTTTGCTCTGCCACGGCTGAGCCCGCTGTTCATGATGGGCGGTAAAAGCGGACTCGGAAATAGAGACACTATCAAAATGGGCGGGTTAAGTCGGCGCTCCTTTACTCCTCCTCCGACGCTCCGCGTTTCATACTCCGAGTGCAGGAACTAAACGACGCCTAGCGTACAAGTGCGCGACGCACCGAGGCTGCGTTCCAAACCTACTCGAATGGATCAGAGTTACCGTGGCGGATTATGTCACGTGACAACAAAAACAGACAAACGATAACCATCTTTACCCTAGAGTTCGATCGAGTAAGTTTTTGGAACACGGCCAGAAACTATCCACGGGCCACACGAGCTCCTTCCGACCGTGGATTCGGGTGGCAGAAGCCGAAAATATTTCAAAGATAAATAATTAGGCCCGTGTGGAGTGGCAGAACTAAAGCAAAAAAGACGGCGACATTATGAAGTTTCCACGAACGTTTTAATATTCCTGAAAGGTTTGAAAATTCGCTTCGTGCACATATGTAGAAGGTTACCTCGGCCGATCTATTTATTGACCATGCATGCTGTTCCGATTTGAATAAAACTTTTGAATCCGCTCGTCGACGCAGGAAAACCTCAAATTTGTCAGATTCCCTGGTTCCGTCGATTCCGTCTCGCAGCGAAACGGAAGCTAAGCCGATACCGGCACACTGTCGTTCCATAGCACGTCAATTCGTTTTTAGGCGGTATGCATGAACAAACCTTTCCCGCAACGCTATAAATGGTGTTTCGACTTTCCAATCTAAGTATCGTTATTCGCTGCGGCTAGGCTAAGAATTCTAAGCAGGGCAGCGATCCGACTGTCTTTTCATCACAACTTTTCTGTCGCCGAGCTATCGGCACGCTCGTTCGATAGATCAATTCGTTTTCAGGCAAGACGCACGAACAAACCTTTTCCTCATCGCTCGCTGATGTTTCGGCTTTCAAATCACAGTATCTTTATTCGCTGGACTAAGCATTATAAAAGGGACAGAGCGGTCCGAATGCCTCCTCATCTTGAGAACCTTTCTGTCGCTGTGCTATCGGCACGCTACCGTCTGATAGATGAATTTCCTTTTCAGGCGAGATGCACGAACAAACCTTTTTCGGAACGCTAATTGCTGCCTTGGCTTTCAAATCAAATCGTTTTCACCTGCTGCATTAAGCACTAATCAAATGAAAAGGGGCAGCGGTCAGGCTACGCCTTTTCACGGAGCGCGAAGAAGTCACTCGCGCTTCGAGAAATTCTCGGTGCACGAAGAGCGCTCTCGAGTGTCATTCTCGCGGCGCTCCTGTGCGTTTAGTGAAGGGAGAGCGCGTCAAACACGGACGTCGGAACCGAGCCACCGTCACAGTGAGCACTAAGCAGCCACAGTCAGCAGCAGAACCTGGCCTCCATACGCTTGGCATTTATGTATGTTAGCGAATGACAAGCTTTCGTCGATTTAAGCCACCGACGTTAAGTTTCCCCAAATGGCGGTGCTCCTTGTGAACGAGCGGCGTTCATGTAAGGCAATTTCGTGCGATCAACAACGATCGCAGTACTTACTGCTTTAGCGACGGATAGTAAAAGCTCGACTATATTTTTCTTCCGTTTTTTTTTTTTTTTTCTTTCGTATGTTCAGGCATAACATTTCAGCGCTCACCTGTTTAATCCACAGTCGAATTCTGAATTCCACACAACAGCGTACCCCAGCTCAGTTTCTCGCAGCCGCTCACAGAACACAACACAAAGCAACGATGGCGATTCCGGCAGCCGTTTCTACGCGGTCAGCGTCCGTGAAGTCGCGAGGTGAGCCGATGGGCCGAGCGGCTTTCCCAGCGCCCTTGCCTGGTTCCCCACTCCCCTCCTCGCCGCTTCCCCACGCACCGCTCACCGCTACGCTGTTTTCCTTCGTCATGGCCTTGACGCTTTCACTCCTCCCCCCCACTTATCTCATCGTCCTCCTGAGTCTCGGCAGGGCGACCTTCGACACTAACGCGCGGTGCCCTTTTTGGGGATGTTGTTATTGGGCGCGTTAAGTCCGAACTTCGAATCGCGAGAGTTCGGTGCTCCTTTCACTAAACGGACAGGGGTGGCACCAGAGACTAAACTCGAGCGCGCTCTTGATTTAATTTGAAAGCCAAGACAGAAATTAGCGTTCCGAAAAAATGTTTGTTCGTGCATCTCGCCTGAAAAAGAAATTCATCTATCAAACGGTGTCGTGCCGATAGCACAGCGACAGAAAGGTCGTCGAGATGAGGAGACATTCGGACCGCTCTGTCCCTTTTATAATGCTTAGCCCAGCGAATAAACATACTTCGGTTTGGAAGCTGAAACGTCAGTGAGTGCTGAGGAAAAGGTTTGTTCATGCGTCTTGCCTAAAAACGAATTGATCTATCGAAAACCGTGCCGGTAGCTCGGCGACAGAAAAGTTGTGATGAAAAGACAGCCAGACCGCTGCCATGCTTAGACCAGACCGCGTTCCAAAATTTCCTCGACCTAACTCTAGGGTAAAGGTGGTTATCGAAAACCTATTCGCGTCCAAAGTTCCTCTATTTTTGTTGTCACGTGACATAATCCGCCAGGGTAACTCGGATCCATTCAAGTAGGTTTGGAACGCAGCCTCGGTGTGGTCGCGCTCCTGTCGCCACGCGCCGTTTAGTTGTAGCGCTCGGAGTATGAAACTCGGAGCGTCGGAGTAAACGCTCATTCACACTGGAAGCGGATCCGCGTTCGCAAAGCGGTTGCGAGCGCGGTTGTATAAAGATCCACTGCAATAGCACGCGCACTCGATGACATCGAGTGCGCGTGCAATGGACCTTTTCCGAGAAGCGTTCTGCGCACGCACGAGCACCCGATGCCAAGCGGCGGAAGTCGGTACGAAAAATCGAGGAAATTCGGGAGGCTGTATATCAGCGAGTAGAACACGTAACTGCAACATATATATAATTGTGTTACACAAAAAAAGAACGTCGACGGAAAGGAAAACACGACTTTTGGGTGGACGCCACGGATGCCCCTCTTTAAAGTCGCGTTGGGCAGGCGCCGCTGCTCAGAGAGCGAAGAAACTGGTAGCGTAGCTCCCATTATCGATTGGTAGCGCAGGTAGGCCACTTCCTCGATTTTCAGTTCGTGCAGCCACCGCCTGGTGCCGTCGGTATGTGGAAATGGTCCATTGGACTGGATCTTTATACAACCGCGTTCGCAACCGCTTTGCGAACGCGGATCCGCTTCCAGTGTGAATGAGCGGTTAAGAGTAAGGAGCGCGGATTTAGCGCGGCCATTGAAAGTTAGCGACCTCGACATTTGTCGCCCCATGAACGTCGTGTGTGTTGCGTTCTGGGGAACATTTGGTCTGAAGTGAATGGCGCATACAAGGTGCAGGAGTCAATTCGTTTCACTCTTCGCTGATAAAAGCATGCGCAAGTTTGGAGAATGCAGGCTGTCGCTACTAGGCGCGTAGGATACCTGGCCTCAATTCGCAGCGGGCTCGGATCGGCTATGGCGACCGACCGGAGTTGAAAAACTGTTCCCCTAAACTCCCATTGAATCCTATAGATGGCTAGAACAACGCAGATAATTATTCAAGCGCTGCCAAAAACAGAACATGTGGAAATGAGAGTCAGACTTACCTGCACCAGGAGGGTCGGTGTCACCAGTTGTCTGAAGTCAGACTGAAGCAGGGCGTTCCGGACGTCTTTTAACTTGTGATCGCCGTCCACCACGATCACCTTCTTTCTTGATCCATAGATCGCGAGACATTCGACACTCATGACTTACTCTGAAGCGGGAGGACGATACAGGGCCAGAGAGAATGCTCACCACTCTTTTAAAGAGTAGCAGCCCCCCCCCCTCCCCCCCACCAAGAAAAAAAAAAAAAAGGTGCGTGTGTATGTGTAAGTGTGTGTGTGTAAGGGGGGGGGGGGGAGGGGGGGAGAAGGTGCAGTTCGTCCGCTCTCGCCACTGCATAGCGCGATTACCGAATCCTTCTCTTGCACAACCTCGAGGGAGAGAAGGGCGACACGCGGATGTGCGATGCTAAAAAATAAATACGTGCGTCAAAAACGCAAAAAAAAAAAAAACGGCAGCGGAAATGATTAGTTGTTACGCCATCGAACTAATGCAAATTCGTAGAAAATTTGTATATTGGTCGTCACTTTGCATTGCTTCCTGGAAAAACCAAATGAAATAAAGATAATTAAGGAAACAATTTCACAGCTTTCTGCATAAACACGAGGGAAACATGTTCCAGAAACCAAAAGGTGACCTACAGGCAATTAACTCTCCATGCACCTTCCTCGTCGGTTTTCTTTTCTATAACACTTAGACATATTACAGGCGCCATGTTGCAGCTGTGTTACAGCTGCCACAGCCGGACAGCGTGCTATCATACAGGGTGGAGCACCTTGACTGGATGTATTTTCGGCTTCGAAAAGCACCACATTGTTACAGTAGTTCATGTCGCGTTCCAGCTTTTGCAGTGTGGCAGGATTGCCGATAAACGGGAAAAGAGAGGGGAAAAAAAACGTAAACACCGACTCCCGATGAACATGCCGTATCGCCACTGTATTTTATCGGTGAACAATGACGGACAAAAGGACTGGTAGTACGGCTTTGCTATAGCTGAGAACAGCTTTTGTTTGTCGCCCGAGGGGAACGAGGACAGTACTTGGATCATTAATGTGCAGTTGTTTCATTCGAAGCTAGAGGCGCGGTTATTATAAGACAGGGCACTGAAGCGCAATTCTCAATACGCTGTTGACGTGCTCCGGATTAGTATCTCGTGCTTTTCTTTAGACGAGAAATATTTACCATGTTGAACTAACCTGAGACTGGGGTAGAGAAGAAACATCAAAACGTAGAAGGGACCTGCACCCTTACGATTTTTTCTACGAGAAATATAATTTTTTTTTGTTTCCACAAATAACTATCATATGCTTGGAAATATATCGCGGGTGCGTTCTCTCCAGCGATCAACGTCGTCCCCACGAATCTTGATTCATTCCCTAGAATGCCATAAAATGTTTCCTTGCAGAAGCAACAGTATGAGCGTACACACCGCTTTATGCCTTTAAATGACCCTTGTTTTCGGATACACTTTGTCGTTATCATATGTAAATTGAGGTATAAAGTTCAAAAATGAATCACGCATATTTAGTGTTGAAGGTGAGAAAACACAAAATTCTGAACAGCAATCAGTGACATACTATCCCAGAACTGTTCAAGAGAATAACAGAACCAAGATAGAAAAAAAAAAAAGTGAAATCTACAAAAATATATTCTCGCAAGAGGTTTCCACACTAGTTAACACATTTTCATTCAATCGTGTTGTTTTAAGTATGTATACCTGAAATCGCTGAACGTCGCCTTCTCTGGGCCAGAGACTGAACAGGGTGAAGAAAAATAATGATTTTTTTTTCTCGAAAATGTCAAATGAATCAGATTTATTTTATTTACATCAGATTTTTATGATCTAAATCAGATTTGCTTAATTTTACTAGCTTTGTTTCAAAATATTTTGCTTGTGACTAATTACCTTTTTAAACATAGCAGACTCATTTTCTAATGAACCCCAGCCCACAAAACATTGTGGAAAAGGTGATTCATTGTAAATTTAATTAAGAACTCTATTTTCTCCATTTAAACCACGCATTACTCTTTTGTTGGAACAACGGCTGCTTGATTTGCCTTTCATTTAGGGAACGAACTTTGTTTGCAGGAATGCTGCGCACGCCACACTGTAGTGAAGAGCCACCGGATTCCTGGAACTAAAGCATATTGATTCCACTAGGTTCCCCTATTTTTTATTTTTTATCTCGAACTCTTCCGGTTGAGTTGGTTGTCGTCGGCTCGTGCACACGCTCCAACTGTGGCTATTGTCTCTGCGGCTGGTTCCGCACGAAATATGATCTGTTATTAGGCCACACCGAAAGTGCAAAGCAGTCTAAAAAAGCCTATGTTGTCGACGAATACAACCTTTCAATTCGAGTTCCAGGGCGCAGTCCCTGGCCAGAGCCAGGAAGTGTACTTTGTACACCCTAGATTTGGCTTTGCTCTTGTGTAAAATATGAAAGGCGGCGATATGATTGCACAAAGGCGGCAGCGAGCTCAAGTAATACAAAGCCTTGAAATACTAGCATGCAAGATCGACCATAGACTTATAATTCAATCTTTCTGCCTGCCTCTCCCTCTATTTGTCGGTATGAGAGTGTGTATGCGTGTTCGCGCAAAACGCATACTTTTGTTGTTCTCGTTTCGTTCTGTCCAATTTTGTTTGGATGTACCTGACGAAAGAGCTTAAAGGCAGGGAGAACGCCTCAATGCTCTGATTTACTTCTTCCTCAAAAAATACTTGTTTTTGTCGTCATCCTGATATTAATAATACTTGATAGCTTTTTACATTTAATTAAAAGATAAATGCTACGAAAAGAGTTTCCCAATTCAAAATTAAATTGGGAAACTCATGTAGATAATATAACTGCAAAGGCTTACAAAAAGCTGTTACCCAAGACGGAAGCTGGGACCATGTGACTCGTCAGTAAAATTTTCGGCATATAAAAGTTTAATTCGGCAAGTGCTAGGATTTGCGTCTATTGTGTGGGACCCGTACCTAATAAAATATATTTAAAAAGTTGAGAGAATTCAGCGCCTCGGTGCACTATTTATTTCTTCCGATTTTAGGCGCTGTCATCAGTGTCGGACAGGATACGTTAATCCGGACTTGAGTCGCTCGAGTGTAAACAAAAAATTGCTGAACTTTTTCTTTTTTTTTGGAAGAATGAGTTTGGCTTAGACAAAACCTTATAATCTTTTGCCACCTCTACAGCGCTCTGTAAGGTTGAATCACACAAAAAATGTCCGACCATATGCTCCTAAAAACAACAGATTTAAATACTCTTTTTTTTTTATTATGCGTGCGATTAATGATTGGAATTCACTGCCCTCCGATTGTGTGCATGCCCCAAATAATGACTGTTTTGACTGTTCTGTTCAAAACCTTATGTAACCGAGTGTGTGCTTGTCCCAAACATTGACAGCTTTGGCTATTCTGTGTGAAACATTATGTAACCCTCTCCTGTCTGGATGGTAAAACACGATCTGCAGTATTTCCTAAATAAAATTTAAGAAAAAAAGATTGATACTCCAACGGTTAAAATTTGTGTTTTCCTAAAATGTTTTACCAAAAATGTTTGATTTAAATCATCATTGTAAAATCGGTGTGACTAAAATCACGATTTAAATCACGACTTCAATCAACTTGATTTTTTTTTCCACCCTGACTGAAACCGTAACCGTAACCCTGACGGGAACCGTGAACCGTAACCGCTTAGGTGCGAAATTCTTTCGGTAACCGTAATCGGAGCGGGAACGAAACATTCATTTCCGGTGAACCGGAGCCGAAGCCGAAAACCAGAAAAGGTGATACGGTAACCGATATATTATACCGGTTTGACGCACTTTTCCAAATTCACAGAGAGAATTGGTTGCAGTGCGAGCTTCGAACTGCAAACTACATTTGAAGCGTGCGACGGCGAGTTTTGCTCGTTGTAACCAATCTCAGAATAGGGGGACATTCATTTGCAGTGTCTAAGCAATTCAAAGGCACTAATTCCCCACTCACTGACACGACGATATGAAAAGGTGCCATTAATGTATTCTATGCGTGTTCCGTTCTATACTCTGTTTCACCTTGTGTTGTACCGCAGGAAGGGCTACAAGCTCGAGCTCCTTCCTCTAGGGCACATCTTGGCGGCACAAGCTCTCGTGCGTTAAAATCAGCTGCCAACGCTACGAGCTCGCGCTTCTAGCCTTCTTTGCGGTACAACATAAGGTGAAACGGAGTATAGTACATTTCTGAGCACGAACGATATGCTCGGCGCAGCAGAGGGTAAGAAAGAGCGAGATCAATTAACCTTCGTACAAGGGTGGTGAAAAATGAAACGGGACATCTACTGCATAACAAAAAATGTGTGTAAACGTGTGCGTGTTTGGGTGTGTGTGTGCGCGCGTGTGTGCGCGTGTTGTACGTCTGTGTGTTTGTGTGTGTGCGTTCACGCGCGCGTGCATGCGTGTGTGCGGGTGTGTGTTTCGAAGTCAAGGCTAAAAGCGCGAGCCCGATGCCTACTTCGGACGGGCACTGGTGCACAATCCAAGCAGCCTGCTCTATCTTGTACCTTCGGCTTTGCTGGCACACGAGGTGAAACAAAATATGGATTGTATTTTTATTGCGAGCAGCAGGTGTGCCTAAAAAACAAAATATTTAATGAAAATAAATGTGGGGCACCATGGCCTTTGTATCAAAAGATGTACAAAGGCTCCTCACCAAAAGGAAGAGATGAACGTTTGGATATTTATATATATGAGGCGCACCCAGTGTTTCTCATCTCGCTGACCCTTAATTTTTTTTTTATCCTGGAAACAGTAACCATGTATTACGTATAGCAAATATATCTTTTTTTTTTTTGTTTTTTAATTGAATCAAATAGCTGAGAGGCAAGATGTTTTAAACATATGCTCGTTACAGACATAGTCAGCTTTTCGAAGGTGAGGGAAGTTGTTGAAGCAGAGGACGATAGGGGCAGCAGGCTCGGTCTAAATGATGCGTGACCGCGGTCAGGACCGAAGGTGGCAGATGCCCGCTGCCGCCGCTGACATTCGTCCTCCCTCCGCCCCAGAAGTTGTACGAAAAAAGTGAAAGCCGTTTACAAATCCCTGTAACGCCGAATTGGAGCGCAGCTCTTGAGGAGGAGGAGTGAAGGGTACTGAGGGGAGG